AAAGCGCTGTAGATATGAAATTTATCCACGGGGCAAAAAAGGCGCCTTAGATGTGAAATTTATCCACGAGGAACATTTATCCCGTTAAAGGTGTACAAATATGCCGTAAATATATCTAAATATTCACAGGTTTTTTAATACGCCGTAAAAATATTTTTCTATAACGATTCTATAAAATCCTCGTGAAAGCATGTCCTATAACGTAACAATTACGAGGATTCTTTTAAAAACTCCGTAAATAGTGGTAATCACGAGGCAAAATAAAGAAGCTCCGTAAATACTATGTCGTAAAAGCCCTCTTTTCTTGTAGTGATTGGCTCTGATATCAATTTGTGAGTTGTACGCAGCGGAATGTATTTTCGAAAGTTTTAGATTTTGTAAAACAAATCTGTGTCATTACCAACTTTACTTGTTTTAGCAGTTAAACAATTAATTGCATGCAGTAAAATAAAGCAAAGTATAAAGTTAGAGATAACACCAGGATTTTAGCGAGGAAACCCCATTTGATAAAATACGTCAACTGTTATGGAAAAAATCTCGTGGACTTGTGCAGTCCAAAGTAAACCAATCCACTATGCTTAAAACAAAGTATACCAAACTTTGACTCTGACTCACACCCTATCATTCTACCCAACACCAGCCGCTAACGATCCTCTGGCTTTGCGACTCCCCGTCCAACAGCAACTCAACCTCAAGCTTACACTTGATATTTGTAGAAAAGTAGCAGGTAAATCAGACAGCACTCCGCGAATGCTCCAACCTTTCCAAAGTGTGACTGCGTTTACTTCTATTCTTCAACAATCTACATGATGTAGAAAAAGATCTACTTCGTCTGATCAATATTAATACGACTATATGATCACAATCAGGATTCAAACACCACAACTCTAAACTATGTGTTTATGTGTATGTGTTCTAGAAAGATATCAGAAAAATCAACTCTGATTTTCTGCAAAAATAATCTTCCTAAGGCTTTGAATAATATCTGAATTATAATGTAAAAGCAGTAAATAAACCGATTTATATGACATGGTTTAAATAAAGTTTAGAATGACCTAATCCCTCTGAAAAGAAGAGAAAATTCGTGCATAGGATTTGGTACTGTTCTAGATCAACTGGGAAACAATTCAGAATAAGGAAACTGAAGTTGTATAGTGATCAGGACTTCTTGAACCTATTCGATAAATCTTGAACCAGTTCAAGATGGACAGAACGAAAAATCTCCACTCTACTGAAGTTGAACCTGTTCGATTATTCTTGAACCAGTTCAAAATGAACCTATTCGATTATCCTTGAAGCAGTTCAAGATAGACAGAATGTAAAAACTTGTTCCGAACAAAATAGAAATTGTAGAATGTGTCCAATCTTGTTTAGAATCCTTTCTAAAGTTTTGTTCTTATTTTTTTCTTCAAAAATCTTTAAGCATAGTAACTTTGAACAACTTTCCAATTCTGTAGTCCCTGTCGAACTTGATAACTTACACAACAAGTAATTTGAATTACAACTCGACTTGAACTTGTTATGTCTACGATAATTACCAAAAATAAATTAATATCTCACAAACCTAACTTAATCTCCATTAGTGTCACGTTTGTTTTGCTCTGATGACACATGCAGTAGTAATGCAGAGCTATATTTTGTGGTGGAAACACAGTCCACATATTGCTCTGGTGTCTTCTTGATGTGGATTTCCATTACCTAAGTCGTGTGTACAGAGAGAATATATATATATATATATATATATATATATATATATAACCCCATTAACATTTAAGAGCAAAATGTATGTGTCGGGCATTGTCTGAACCACAAGATAAATTTCCTATATTTTTAATACAAGGAATGTTGTATACTCATCTGTTGTGACATAAGTGCCTTCTTGAGTGTATTATTTATCCATTAAACTCGCATATAAATAGCTAATTATTTAATATTTAAGTTATTTATGGTATAAAATTATATCTATGCAGATTCTTTAATTTTTTGGGAAAATTACATATAAATGGAGTCAAAGTTTCATATTTACTTAGAGACGGAGTCAAAGTTCCATATTTCTCTAAAATGGATTGTTGAGGTGGCACATGATTTTTTACTGTTTAAAAAATTGTGATGCCTAAAATGCCCTTCCCTAATAAAAAAGTAGTACCTTCAGTTCAAAAAAGTAGTACCTTCAGTTCAAAAAAGTAGTACCTTCGGAGAAAAAGTAGTACCTTCGCGAGTGTTTAAAAAACATGGTACCTGAACGCCAAAAAGTAGTACCTTCAGTTCAAAAAAGTAGTACCTTCGAAGAAAAAGTAGTACCTTCGCGGAAGGGTATTTTAGGCATCACAATTTCTAAACGGTAAAAAACCATGTGCCACCTCAGCAATCCATTTTAGAGAAATATGGAACTTTGACTCAGCCTCTAAGTAAATATGGAACTTTAACTCCATTTATATGTAATTTTCCCTAATTTTTTCCCTATAAATAGTAGCATAGAGATACCTCTAGATGTCGATCCCTTGTTCATAGAAAGGGAAGCATATAACAGTATAATACAGTATATTATTGGGAAGTACATATGTGTGTGTATATCTATATATATATATATTATATTTTGATTCCTGGAGTCCAGGAACAGACTTATCTTGTGAGTTGTACGTGACTTATTCATGTACAAAATCAAAACAGTGTAGAGAAATTTTATTTTACCAAACACTACCAAAAGTCCTCCCATGCAGTCCCTAAGAGACGCAAATTCTTGTTTTTCCTATTCAGTGAGACTTTGCTCTGCCATTGCGCACCAATTCGACCACTTTTTATTATTATTATTATTAGTTTTACTTGTAATAATCAAAATAAATAACAGAAAGAACCTCAGCCACACAAGTCACTATTGGCTGTTGAATTAAATCAGCTACTGACATTTTATAGATGACATTTTACTAATTAATGCATTGGGAGGCGCCAAGGAGCACTTAAGGGGTATACATGCGGCGCCAAGGAGCACTTAAGGGGTATACATACATACATATATATATGTATGTATGTATAGGCGCCAAGGAGCACTTAAGGGGTATACATACATACATATATATATATATATATGTATGTATGTATACCCCTTAAGTGCTCCTTGGCGCCTCCCAATGCATTAATTAGTTCAATGTTCCTAATACATCAATTATATATATAAAGATTTGGAACATTGAATTAGTTAATGCATGGGGAGGCACCAAGGAGCACTTAAGGGGTGTCTCTTAAATCAGCTACTGACAGTGCTATACTACAAACAAATGAAAACATATATGATTGCAACCATTGAGTTCAATGTAATAAGTGTCTCTTCCAAATCTTTTTTCGGGTACGGTAAATTTTTGTATTGAATGTATAAATTGCAGAGATGACAATTTGTCTCAACCCAACAGATTCCCACCCCTATTAAGGGGTGCATGATCTTTAACAAGGTTAGGGATGGGTATGGGAAAAGACCATGAACCTGATTCGGGTCCGGGGCAGTTTCATACTATCCCGCTCCGCCCAGAGTATATTATTATTAAGATGTCACTTAAATTCCCAATATGCAATTATATATATAGAGAGAGAGAGAGAGAGAAAATATTCCTCATACAAACCCTAATTCTCACAAACAGATTTCTCAATCAGCCACTCCCTCACAATTCCAGTACTCACAAACAGGATTCTTCTTCTTCTTTAATTTTCTAACGTTCTTCGGAGGCAAGTTCCATCTTCACATTCAGTTCTTATTTTTTTCTTTAATTTTCTACCGCGGCCATGATCGATCTTCACAACCAGATCTGGTACGTTCACCACCTTGTAATATATATATATATATAGAAGAATACAAGATATTGCTGGTATAGAACTGGTTTTGACAAGAAAATTGTTGGATCGGGGACGAGAATGGTAGGATTTAGAGGTTCTTGTCAATCCCACATCAGATCCAATTAAGAAATGCCTTAGACTTGTAAGGATGAATAGGCGTTTTGATAAAGAGGGCCCACTATGTCAGTCCTACATGGAATTGTTCCAACTTAAAAATGTATAAGAAAGCTAACTGAGACAAAACCAGGAAAAAAGGGAGGGAAAAGGTAATAAAATCAAAGTTGACAATGGTCGAATCTTTTGACCTAAGAACAAAACCGCATGGTGAGTGGGTCATTACAAGTTCCTCCATACATACAAAGCCTGCATCACCAACCATTGAAATTCAAGATACATTCAAATTCAAGATACGAATTCAATTGCAAAATTTTAGGCATATTTAGTTTGTAACTTTAAAAATAATTCTCAATAATTCAAAGATAATATAAAACAATTTTCAGACAATAATAAAAGATAGTTATCTAAAAACATATATTTTAATAACTGATTCTTCAAAAAACTGAATTAAGCATAATTTTTTTACAGTGTTCTTTTTTCAATTTACTGAAAATAGAAAACTGTTCTTAGAGTTACAAACCTAGCGGACCCGAATCATTTCTTAGGGAAAGCAACCATTTTCAATCTCAATAGTCAATACCAATCGAGGAATTATTCCAATTTCAAATAACCAACTTCAGCCAAATGATTCAAAGACTTTCATGCCCGTCGAAAGCAACTACTGTCTTAATATTCCAATAAAGCTCACTCTTGTACAATCCCCAAAATCGGACACTTATTTTATCATAATATCACATATGATATTTTTTATTTCCCTAATGGGACATGTTCAATGACCTAACTCATAGAAAGTAGCTTTGATCCAAAATTTAGCATTTCATGCACATCCAAAATTAATAGATATTACTTCCAACACAGAATAAATAAAACTTTGGTCCAAAACCAGAATAAAATTAACATCTTAGCAAATGTTTAAAAGTGTATAATAAACATTCCTCTGCCAAACTATCTGAAAATTCAAACTGAATCCATAATTTTACTATAATGATAAAAGGCAGTGACGCGAATTCCAGGTATTAACTAACCAACCTTGCAGGCTTAAAAGAGGCAAAATTCTGTTATTCAGTTGGCTTGGTCACTTTTTCCTTTCCATAGATACGCTGAAGTTCACGTGTTGCAGCTTGATATGATTCTGAGAAGAGCAAAAGATGAAAAATCTGTGTGAGAAAAAAATAGAGAAATATGCTTTTATCCTAGTTACATTTAGAAAATGGTCACTGTATTTCTCATGCTTGTTTTAAAGAAGTTACTTCAAATCAACTGAAAAAAAATAATAATAATAAAATAAAATAAAATAATCACCTTTCCAAATTCGAAAATTCTTCTCATGAATAGGAGATCCAGTCACATTCCGAATCGCTTCAAACAACATATCTTTAGGTGTGGCCCTCAGCTCTTGGACAACAGCATAAATGGTCTTTCCATTAAAAAAGTATATGTGATCATTTGGGTGTTTGGTCTTGTAACCAGCATGATGCTCAAACTCAAAAGCATTGAGAATCTGAATAAAGCAATTCGAATGATCAATTAGTTTTAAAACTCATACTAAATGTTCTTTCTTTTTTTTTTTTTTTGGGTTAAAGAACTCATACTAAATGTTCCTCTGTGAACTTGCTTTACAAAACTAAGGGGTGAAAAAAGAAGAAAAAGAGGAATTACTAGAGGTTACCTTGGAGTACTTGCAGTTATTGCATCCGCACAAATAACCAGTCCCTTTTATAACTCCTTTAAGACTATTCTGCATGCATAAAAATTTACTGTGTCAATGCAAGAAAATTTAAATCAGAAGGAGTAAGAACAGTTGAATCAGAACTGACCTGCCGTGTCCAGTTATAATAATTCACAGGAACGCCATCAAATATACCAGTTGTTAACAAGCTTTTGACATGCGAAGGGAATTCGTTTTGAGATGGCTTGTTAGGTCTATTAGGCCTCTTTCTCACTCTCTTCGGGACAGCACGAGTTCTAGAGGTACCCGATGGAGCAACATTTACAATTGCATCATTATTACACACAACTAAAGCTTTCTGTCTTGGTTGACTTGTCAACAAATCATACCTGTTAGTCCTCCCGGAGGGATTTGTATCAGGTTTATCCTGACAGCCACCAAAAATTATAGTAGCATTTTTCGGACTCCTATTGTATTTCCGACCCATAGATTGCATGCTGGAACTCCCCTTGTCATAGTTGGTATGCATAGGTAGAACACTTGTATCTGCCTTGTCAGGGGTTGGACCTGTTGAAATGACATTATTGTTGCTTGTATATCCCATTGAAATAAAATTTTGATGAGCATTATTATGGGAGGGATCCATCAAGACGACGTTCTCAAATCCCTTGTTAAAAGCAGGATCTGTTGAAATGATATTGCCATCTCCTTTTACTAGGGGCATTGAAATGACTGTGTCACCTATCTTGTTAAACTTACGGCCCATCAACACGAAACTGCCATCTCCGTTGTTGGCGTTACCCGTTGAAATGAAATTGGCATTTGCATTATTAATGGCCGGTTTCCATGGAGTGATACTCTCATCCCCTTTACTACAAGTTGGGCCCGAAAAGATGTTGTTAGCACTCTTATTATAGGTTGTACCCCTTGAAATATCTCCCCACATGTAAGAGTGTTTGAATGCTATAGACATCTCATTCTCAGAGCTCTTGACTTGATTCGCATTTCCAATTCCAGCACGATTGGGACATGACAAGGGATCATTAATAGTATGCAACTTGGATATGCTGACCGAGAACATATCTCCATATTTAGGATTTCTTTCCACATTCAAGTTTCCCGCACCAAAAGATTGAGTGTTCCTACCATCAAGATCAAAAATCCTTACAGGCTCAGATTGGAATGCGCGCTGAGTCGACTGTGCAGAGCCTGTTTGAAAACTGGAACTGTTCTTCCAAGGAAGAACGTTCATATTCGGAAGTCCTGACAGTGGTCTGCTGGTACCAGCTTCTGCTGCTTGCTTCTTGTTGCAGAACAGTGTGATTCCTGAGGAAGTATATTCCAAAACTCCATCACCTCGACACTCTGCATCCCTTGGCATCGGAAAGCTCTTCTCCTGGAAAGACTGCAAAAACATAGACTTAGAATAATTTTTTTTTTTTTTTTCGGTAAATACTTAGAATAATATTTTAATTAACAGAAATTACTAGAACATTCAGCTGAATAATTTCAAATTTTAAATAACAAAGTTGTCCATGTTCAACATAATCAACGGAACCAGAAAAAAATAATAATAATAATATTAAAAGAAATGAAAAGGATACAAAAAGCCAATCATCCAATAAAAAAAGGCACAACTACATATCAATGGCATATCAGAACACTTGATAAAAAAAAATCTTCCAAATTTTAATAGTCCAATGAGCAGCTATAGATTCAATTTAGATTAAAATAGAAAAATGAGATAGTATAGTTTGATTCATGCTGCTTCAAATGTCAAACAAACTTTCAGGGCAGACTTCAGCATCAATTAAGTTAACATGTATGCAGTATGCCAGGAAATGAAATGAGGAATTATTAGAAGAGATCCAAATGGATTTTTACCAAATATACTTTTCCATTGTCAAAACACATTCATGCTTTGTTGTTCTTTAAGAATGATAGATTAAAAAGAAAGAAATTGAAAACATCTTGATGAGAGGAATTGGCAATAGTTTGTGCTGACAGGGAAAGCTCTTCGCTTTTTTTCATATTAAATTTTTTTCCTTAAAGCCCACATCTCTGTCCAAAACAAATTAGTCATGTCCTGGAGCACAATTTCTTAATATAATTTGTATATTTGCACAAGTTGCAAAAACAGACAACTGGGAGGCAATTTTCACATATTTGCCAACACAATGAACATATAACACAAAAGGAAAGCCTTTATTTGCATAAAACATAACATGAGTGTGCCTTTCATGGCTATAGAATACATCCCTCAAAGGCTATGTTTATAGAAATATAACAAGACCTCCATTCCAAAACATCCTAACATGGAGTGTTTGATAGATGGAATGTATCAATTATCATGGCCAGAACATCAAAGGCGTTGACAAGAATCATTCCCACCCTAAAGCAAGTAAGAACACCGTTTAGGTATAAAATGGAGCAACTAGTTCCTAAGATTTTTTTGGGAGAATAACCTATTAATTACACTTTAACAGCCAATATTTAAACAACATGATTGCTACTAAAATCAGGTCTTCTCATTATAAGGATCTATTATAAAATTATAAATATCCTCTACCAGATCAATCTTTCAAATTAAAAATAATAATAATGAAAATAAAAATAAATAAATGCTTTGCCTAGAGAAGCATTAGACACATGTAAACCAAAGACCACAACTGAGTAGTCAATGATTTCCACTGTTGCATCTCTGTCCCATAAGATTCAGGCAACAGTCAGCAATAAATAAGAGCCTGATATTCCATAGGCGCATGGATAATCAACTTCGTTGTCAAAATTACTCAATCCTAATATTCTGCCACATCAGACTTGGCTGAGGCCCTAGGGATGCGTCCGAGTCCCGCCCGACTCTCATTCGAGTCACTAGCTACTCAACTGAGTTAGCACATCTAATAGTGTGCAAGGTTGAGAAAAAATTTCACGATTGTGTTTTTCGATACCATTCGTGTCCACTTTCACTACTCTAGCCTCATCTGAAGAGGTCAAGGCCTGATTATGTGCTCCTAATATCCTCTAAGGAATTGTATTAAATTAAGGCCATTCTAAATGTCCATATTAATGTAGCTTGATCTCTATTGATAGTAAATGAGTAAGCACAAGGTGGTACTCATGTTGAATGATTGTTTTATGAGGTTGTGCCAAATGTTTTCATATATAGCTGTCCAGCTACGACAAGGTTGGGGTGGCATTTTGGTCATTGCATGGTTATGCATATTGATTGAGTTATAAAGGACTTCGCCAACTGAGTCTAGCTCTAGTGGGAATAAAAGTCGCATCAAACTCAGTAGAGTCCCTAGGGATGCAGCCTAGTTCCATCCGAGTCTCTTTCGAGTCATTGGCTACTTAGCTTAATATATAATAGTTTGCAAGGTTGAGAAAATTTTGCAATTGTGATTTCTAATACCATTTATGTCTATTTTCGCAACTCTAGACCTCATTTGGAGAGGTCAAGGTCTGATTAGGTGCTCCTAAAATTTCTTTAAGACATTGCATTAAATGAAGGTCATTCTAAACATCCATATTAATGTAGCTAGAGGTCCATTGATAGTAAATGAGCAAGCACAAGGCGGTACTCGTGTCGAATGACCATTTTATGAGGTGGTGCCACATGTTTTCACTGCAATCCAACTACGATAAGGTATGTTTGGCATTGCGGCCATTGCACGGTTATGCATATTGATTTAGACATAACAAACTTGGCCAACCGAGTCTAGCTCTAGTGGGAATAAAAAGTCACATCTAACTAAGCTAAGTCCCTAGCTATGCAACTGAGTTCCATCTGAGTCTTCTTTGAGTCACTTGCTACTCAACAGAGTTGAGATATCTAATAGTGTGCAAGGTTGAGAAAATATTTCAATTGTAATTTTTGATACCGTTCGTGTTTGCTTTTGCTACTCTAGACCTTATTTGGAGAGGTTAAGGCCAGATTAGGTCTCCTAATACTCTTTAAGACATTATATTAAATGAAGGCCATTTTAAACATCGGTATTAATGTAGCTAGAGGTCTATTGATAACAAATGAGTAAGCATCTAGTGGTACTCATGTCGAATGACCAATTTTTGACGTTATGCCATATGTTTTCAACGCTGTTCAACTACAACAAGGTAGGGGTGGCATTGTGGTCATTGCATGGTTATGCATATTGATTGAGTCGTAATAGACTCGGCAACTAATTCTAGCTCAAATGGGAATAAAAAGTCACATTAGACTCGATTAAGTCCCTATGGATACGGCCGAGTTTCGTCTGAGTCACTTTCGAGTCACTAGCTACTCAGCAGAGTTCAGATATCTAATACCATGTGCGATAATTGTGATTTTTGATACAGTTCATGTCTTCTTTCACTACTCTAGACCTCATTTGGACAGGTCAAGGCCTGATTAAGTGCTCCTAATATTCTTTAAGACATTGTATTAAACGAAAGCTATTTTAAACATCCATATTAATGTAGCTAGATCTCTATTGATAGTGAATGAGTAAGCACAAGGCGATACTTATGTCAAATGACCGTTTTATGAGGTTGTGCCACATGTTTTCATAGTTCTCCAACTATGACAAGGTAAGGGTGGCATTTTGGTCATGGTTATGTATATTGATTGAGTTATAACAGACATAGCCAACTAAGTCTAGATCCAATGGAAATAAAAGTCACATTAGACTTAGCAGAATACCATCTTTCGAGTCATTAGCTACTTAGCTGAGTTGGGATATCTAATAGTGTGCAAGTTGAGAAAATTTTACAATTGTGATTTCCGATACCGTTTATGTATTTTTTCGCAACTCTAGACCTCATTTGGAGAGGTCAAGGCATGATTAGGTGCTCTTAAAATTCTTTAAGCCATTGCACTAAATGAAGGCCATTCTAAACATCCATATTAATGTAGCAAGAGGTGTATTGATAGTAAATGAGTAAGCACAAGGCGGTACTCGTGTCGAATGATCATTTTAGAAGGTTGTGCCATATGTTTTCACTGCGGTCCAACTACGATAAGGTAGGGTTGGCATTTTGATCATTGCATGGTTATACATATCGATTGAGTAATAACGGACCTGACCAACCGAGTCTAGTTCTAGTGGGAATAAAAAATCACATGTGACTCAACTGAGTCACATCTATCCGAGTTTCTTTCGAGTCACTAGCTACTCAGCTAAGTTGGAATATCTAATAGTGTGCAAGATTGAGAAAATTTGCAATTATGATTTCTAATACCGTTCATGTTTACTTTCGCCACTCTATACCTCATTTGGAAAGGTCAAGGCGATATTAGATGCTTCTAATTTTTTTTTGAGACATTAAATTAAACAAAGGCCATTCTAAACATCTGTATTAATGTAGCTAAAGTTTTATTGATAGTAAATGAGTAAGCACACGGTACTCGTGTCGAATAACCATTTTATGAGGTTAATTGTGCCACATGTTTTCACAGCGATCTAACTACGACAAGTTGGGGTTGGCATTGTGATCATTGCAAGGTTATACATACCGATTAAGTAATAACGGACTTGACCAACCGAGTCTAGCTCAATAAAAAATCACATGTGACTCAGCTGAGTCACATCTATCCAAGTCTCTTTCGAGTCACTAATTACTCAGCTAAGTTGGGATATCTAATAGTGTGCAAGATTGAGAAAATTTGCAATTGTGATTTCTAATACCGTTCATGTTTGCTTTCGCTACTCTAGACCTCATTTGGAAAGGTCAAGGCCAGATTAGATGCTTCTAAATATTTTTAAGACATTACATTAAACAAAAGCTATTCTAAACATCCGTATTAATATAGGTAAAGTTTTATTGATAGTTGTCGAAATATATAAATATTTCTATATAATTGTGGAGTAAAATCCTCCACCAATCATGGTGCCTCCTTTCACTATTGTACACATTCCATATATTTTTATCTTTATCTTGCCTATATATAGGCTCCTTGTACTTAAGCAATATATAGATCTGAATAATAAAAATGTAGCCATTAGTGACTCTTTATCCATGGATGTAGGGGCCTTAGTGTTGAACCATGTATATGCATGTGTTTTCTCTCTTCCCTTTTCACATTTGCATTTTTTATTTCCGCATCCAATTTTAACAAGTCAAAATTAAAGAGAGAAATAGAAAATGAAGAACATAAGGATACATGCACAAAGCCCAAAGGGCTATATCATCTTTATTATATTCTCTCTTAAGACTATTTACAATGAGCACCTCTATTTATAGGTGAAAGAACAAAACGATAAATACGGAAAATACATTAACGGAGGATTCATAAAATCAATCCCATAAATCACTTCAATCATATTTTATCATATGACTAAAATCACTCTCACAATATTCTCGAAGTAATATTCTGTGAAGTAATTTAAGGTTCCTATAATAATATTCTCCAACACCCTCCCTCAAGTTGATACAAGA